AATTGATCACTCGCATAAATTGATTGCTGTGTTGAGGTTTATTAGTCACAGACCTGGATGCACAGTTGAAGCTTATACATGTACTGTGAGGTAGACTTGGGTCAATAAAACAGTTGTTGTTGTTGCTCTCTAAGACACTATGTGTACTGAGGTTTATTGAGATTTACCTGACTTGGTAGATTGGTAGCCACGTTGATTGTCATTCCTTTAGGGTTGGTATATTTCCAACAAACGGACATTCCTAGAGTCCTCCGTTCGTGACATAATCCCCCCTTGTGTGTACATAGCCTTTCATGTGCATGTGAGGTTTATTAAATAATTTTGTGGGATTGCCCCGCCCGCTGTTGGTGGGTACTTCGGTGTTCGTCGACCGGCGGGCGACGGCTAGTGTCGCCGCAACAGTATCGTTCATTTAGAAAAATATCTGCTGAGGATAGTCGCAATTTTGATATTCATGTATTTCCAACATTGTGGAATTTTGTGTTATCAGAATATTCTGTCGAAAACTTGGGATGCCTCTGTTGGAATGTCTCTATTCTTTTCATAGCAATATGACAATGAACAACTCTGGGAAACGGAACTTATTCAAAACAGAGGCGTAAATTTGAAAAATGGCAACATGGAACTACATACAAAATAATGACCAGGAAAAGTTGAAAGTACGAATAGTTCAGTGAGCTGAAATTGAGATTTTCCTTTCCACAAATTGGACAGCTCGAGAGTAAGAACCGTAGTTTTAGGTGGAACCAGAAGGCAGAATGAGGAAAGTCAATTGAAAGCACATTTCTTTACCAGTAATTTAAAAAGGTTATTGGTCCTAAAATAGTTGTTCATAGTTTTATTGAAATTTGATGCAGAATGACACAGAAAACTTTAAAAACACTTGCTAGCTTATTAGCTAGTTACCAAACCTTGGTGCTTGGACGATCAAAGAAATATTACATTCTCCTGCTAGTATGATCTGGATTTCTGTCCTTAAGTCACAAAGCTAATGAAATAAAGTGTGTAGCTGATCAGAATTCTCGATATAAATCTGCAATAGCTTCAAGAGCGTCTATTCTCATGTAAACCTATGAGGGGTCTGATTTGTGTTTCTGCAATGCAAAAAACCAAAGCAAACTAAACCACAGCAAAGCAAACCAAAAACCGCTTCGGGGTGAGTTTGCGCGTTTCCCTGTACCATTCAGCAATGTGACGTCACAAACATAGCATAAAAGTCTTATGGGCCAATTTCATGGCGCTGCTTAAGAGAAAAATTTGTTTAAGCGTGAAAGAAGCTTGCTTGACAAATCAGGTTTCCAGCTGTTACGAAGTTGGAAACCCCAATAACAGATACATAATGGGAAAGGGACGCAGATATGACATGAGGATCGGAATAAAGGAATTTGTTCAAAATAGGATTTGAATTAATTTAATGATTCAGCATTACCAATTAACAAACAAACGAAATTAAATGACATGGTTGCATAAAGAGTTATACAATTCTAAATTAAACAAATTATAATTTGGCCATTGCAAGGGGACGTACCTCCATGAATGGAATCCTGAGCCACCAGCCTGCCGAGAGTTCGTATCCGTTATCAGCCCGTTTCCACGATAAAGTGAGCGAGACGATGACCAGTGGGCAAGGTCTTGCACTCGACAGGTTGCCCGTAATGGACGGGCGTGGCACTTGTGAGAACAAGAGCGTGGCAAGATGGCAGACCAAAATCAGTGGTGACGGAACCTTGCTGGTTAGGAAGGCATGATGATGTCGAGTGCCCACGCAGGGAGAAAATATCCCTGCTTGTCCACCTCCAGCAAGCTGAACTGAAAGCTCAGAATCCGCCAAGGGGCGCAAACGGCCAAAAGGGTTTCTTTTGTGGGCGGGGAAACGCAGGATCTTTTTATTTATTTGGGGATCACAATTAATGGGGTAACCATTAAATTTACGATATTTTTGAAATGGTTACGTTTTTATTGTTATTTTGAAATACTTCACGTGGACTAGGTATTTTAAATTTTAATTAACAGGTATGACCTCTGGAGGATTTAAAACGGACAAGAATATCATTGTAGAGTTCTTGATATTAAATTTTGAAGACACATTACCATCTTACTTCGGGCGTCATCAGGGTGTTGTTTTCTGTGGGCACCTTCTATTTTGATTGAGCTCAACCCGTAGGAAACGGAGTTTGAATCAAAGCTCAGCCAGCGCAGCACCTTTTTGACCCATGGAAGTAACTGTTGTTCTTTGTATAAATCGGAACCCTGAACAGACTTCAAGAAACATTGCAAGCCGTTCTGCATTCTGCTTCTAAGTGAATTTGTAATGCATAGCACATCTGTTGAAAAAAACATTTTAATCGTACCCAGACAAATATAGCCATGCATTTTATGTTTTCACATTTACTTGGACTTTTACAAAGAAGCATGATGACGCAAATGGTTTAATACCACAATTTTCAAATCCTGATTTATTCAAAAGTAATTACGTACAACTCAGAATCGTAGGGGAATTTCGCCTATTCAAATGTTCTCAGTTACTGAAAATTTGTCTCCAATATGGTTCATTGTAAAGTAACTGGCCTGTGAATATTCTAATATATAGTCTGGAAAGTTACAACTCACTAGTTTCTTATATACCCCGTTCAATTCCTCCAACCAATTTGCATTAATCACTATCTAAGGAATTCACATTCATAAATAGTTCTGAGATTTTTGGGGTGTAACAACGTCATGTGACTAACCATACCACAATCGTCAGATCAGGGCACTCGATAGTAAGCACTAGACTTCAGTAAATGTGTTAGATTTATAAGCAATGTAGTAAAAAACGTTCCATTTGGAATCAATCAAATCAGCAAATCTTAACTTTAAAATCTTGAACTGTTCATTGTAGGCATAATCAGAAAATTCTCACAAGGTTATATTTTTAAATTTTTAAATATCATTGTACCCAATAACATTTCCATGCTTTGTTTTTATTTTCCCTACCCTCTCTTAAGCTCTTCTTAACTTCTTTCATATAATTATTGCAACGGTGATATCATGCATAAAATTTACAACCAAGACTCAAATGCTGTTTGCTCCTTAAATAACACAAATGAGTAAACCCTGAAAGAGTCAGGTTTTTTTGGCCCATCTCAAAGCCGGGGGTCCGCCCCCCCCCCAACTCGTCTGTGCCGTGCTCGACTTTTTTTTTGACTTGGCACGCATTTACGTAAAGACACTCCTAAATATAACAAATGTGAAGTCTTAGCTCATTTTTTAAAAATGAATTTGCAATCTATATATTTCTTTCAAAAACTCCCAACAAAAAGTGTCATTTGGGAAAACCATTGTATTTTAGATTTGACTCCTCGTGTATATCAACAAGTTCATGCCTATGGCGATACATACCATTTGAATACCTTACCAATCTGCCCCGAGTTTACGAACACCTTCATCAGAGAAAAAAGTAGATTAGTACGCAGTTTTCCAACCGCGTTCTTGCACACATTCGGTCTGCGTGCAAAGACCATCAAGATTAAATTCGTTGCGTGTAATCAGCTTGCCAGCCAATGCGTTGAGTTCATACCAAAGGACTGTGAATTTCATTTAATAACAAGCCCTTTTTCGTCCCCGCTCGGAGCTGATACATTAAATAGTTGTTTCCCTTTCAAGATATTATCTCTTATGCAATTATGTCAAAGTACCGTCCTGCATGTCAATTATTTACAACACAGTTAACTTCACAAACAATTCGTAAAGCCAGGCTCAGTAAGAATTAACACTAAAGCTGTTCTTTGATTTCAGAATCTAATACGAAGCGATCAACTTTCAGTCGACAGATTCCATGAATCTGACTTGCATTTTTAAAGTGTGCTTAATTTTAATACTGCATCGTTAGAGGCAGAATACTCTGTGAGGCAAAATATCCCCACAACGTCAGAAGTATCGGACTAACACATTCGAAGGTTTGCCTACACGGGCGGCGTTCACACGACCACAATTTGAGTGCAATATAGTTGATTGCAAAGAGTTATGAATTTGTATATTAGAAAGTTTATTACTGAACTTCTTATCCACCAAACAGCGGAAATGTTAATCCGTAACACTTATATGGATTGAAGAAAAGGTACACCATATCAACATTCAATTTTATTTACCAATTCTATCCTTGACTATTCAGAATATAGTTAATTAATTTTAAAGCCGCGTGCACATATTTTTTTTCATTTTTGTTTGATTTTGTGTTTAGCTTCGTCATGAAAGAGGCATAGACAATAACTGCAATGTACACTCTTAAAAGTCCTGGGTCAGATTGACTCAGAGTTGATGAGTCCCATTCGGCATGACCCTTTTCCGTCAAATATGACCCAGAAAGATTCAAATATGACCCTTTTGACAATTTAAATGCCGAAAAATATATTCTGATCATTTTACTGTGCATGGTCACGTGTTCGGAAGTGAATAATTTGTATTCCACTTTTGTCACGAATTTCAGGAAATTGGAATTAAGAATTACACGTCTTTGCTTTGTTTCTATTGGTTTCTATTGTGGGTTTCCAATCACTTTTGATATTAAAACCGACGTAGCTTCATTTCGCATTTGACTATTCGATGGCCTTCCCATCCAACCCACATTATACCTTGATCATCTGGACCTTGTTGATATTCCCCATTAAGGCCATTCGATGCATCAGAGTTACCATTGCATGTTCCGAGCCACCAGCCCCCGTTCAGCTCAGCTGCACAATTAACATTGGTATCCTCATCATTGTCCATATCGTAGGTAGAGAAGTTTCGCATGTTGAGATAAGGAGGGACTGGATCTAATGCAGACGTTAGAAAGAAAACGGACAAGATGTTCAACATTCCGTTCTTACTGATTTGACAATGAGGATGGCATAGAAAAGAAATCAAGAAAAATGAGAAAGAGTAGACAGACATTTCCGTGTAAATGAGCTTCGCAAATTTCTTGGGGGCCAATGGCGCCACCAAAACATGTCAAAGGGCTGACTTTGGGTGAAGGTTTCAAAATTAAGTATCATGGATATTTTCCTTAACTTTTGAGGAAATGTATTACATCCTGAAGTTTTCAAGCCGCAAGAACAAAAATTAACAAAAAAAAAAAGAGTTGGAGTTGTCTTGGTTGTTAATGCATAAACCTAGACTAGTTAGTTTCAATGTGGTGTGCTGCATATGTCCAGACTACTACATCATACCAAACTGAAATGATCCACCATGAGTCAAAGTGTATTTGTTGCCGCTGATGCCGAAGTCCATGGCCTGTAAGGTATGATACTCTCCCTGATCATCCTTTAGGTCTACTCGTAGTGACCATCTATTCTCTGCTGTTAGATGAAGAAGTATCTCATTTCCCAGCCAGAACTCCCCCGTCATTTCGCCGAATCCGTCCTGGTACTCGCTCCAATAACGAGTGAAATTTACCGACCCATCAAATCGCTTCTGGAACACCTACAACGAACCAAAGAATTTTACTTCTCTATTACTGTTGAATGAATTAAAAGAGAACTTTGTCATACGTTAAAAAATGTGTAATAGGTATATGCAAAGGAGTAAAGTTTAATAACCTGTGTTTTCTTTTTTTAAACCCTCAAGCTAAAGTTACGTCCCGACCAAACACAATCTGTCTCAACTGTAGCGTATCCAAGCTGCTTTTGGTGTGCGTGTTTGTTTCTGCATTCAATTGGGGACCCTGAACAATAGAGGTCCCCGATTGACAGAGGGTCCCCGATTAACAATTGTGTGCAAAACATATGGGTGGTCTTCTAAAAAAGTTAAAGTACAAACAAAAGAGGAACAATAGGGGGTCCTCAGTTGCAGGCAAATACACACTTGTGTGTGTGTGTGTGGGGGGGGGTTAAAAGCGAATGCCGCTTCGGGCTTTTTGACATTATGCTGGGGGAGAAAAAGCATCAAAAGCCATATTCACGGTCCGGAAATCCTAACTTGTACGTTAAGGTGGTTTCTTTGGGTTTTGGTGATAATATTTCAAGCATAAATATTACGATCAAATTCGATAAATATTAAAATGAAAAACAAAATCGTCGGGGGAAAGTCTCCCCCGTCTCTCCGCCTCCCCCCCCCCACATGCCACTGTGACCCAACAACCAAAAAAGCTGAACACGAAACTTACCGGGTCTATTAAAAATATCGGACTCGAAAACAGTTTTGTGCGCATCAAGTTGTGTATCAACTATCCCTCGTTGAATGAAATCTTTTGGAGATTCCTCATGATGAGTTTATCTTTAATATCTCTCATAATCGCTCATGTAAGTTAACAAGTGGGAAATGGGCCATGTTTAACTAGCATGACGGATGACTTAGGGGCTGCAGTAGAAATGGAATGAAAGATGCCATACATTCACTGCTTGCCAACTGTAAATACGCTTGCATAAACGTAGTCATATTGACCAAAGGATAGATTTAAACAGGCTAGTCATATTGACCAAAGGAACACGTTATCCAAAGATCTGTTTGAAACGCCCTGAAGTGCACACCAATTTCCAGGAGCTGGAATGTGTTCCGATTCACCAGACAACTACAACATGTTTGCTTAATCGAATCTGGCAATGCACCCAACGGGAAATATTCTAATAGGACAGCTGTTTAACATTCTCAACAATCATGCTCAGTCAATGCACCTACAATACTGACTAATAAATACAGTCGGTCTGACTACCCTTTGATTTTTAGTCCAAAACGGAGATAATTCGTCCGAAATGCATGATTGGCCTAGAGTAACCAGTTTGACTATTTTCCACCCAAATGACTAACTTATATTTACGGTGTAGAGTAATTTTAATCAAGAAGTATCAATTCTTTGTAGAGAAATCCACTTTTTACCTTCCGTCAATTTGGTCAAACAAAGTTTACTTACGATCCAGCCTCCGTATTGGGTATCCATATCACAGTATACCTCTACACCGCCAGGGTACTTCGACGGGTAGATGGTGTACACGCCACTCGTGGTGATATCAAAATCGTCATGTAGGAATCTGCAATCTGAGGGGAAACTGTGTCTTTAATGGACATTTAAATGCAAACAAACATTAATGTTTTTAAAACTGTGTCTTCATTGGACATTTTGGATACATGGAAATAGAACTTATACTATTTATTAACGTACGAAAGGTTAACGTATAATGCTCTAAGAATAATGATATTGCTGAAAACTCTACATGCATTTCATTGCTCTGACTTCTACTGTCCATTGTACATGATAAAGTTTGTGATTAAGTCACTATTTGAGTTCGCTGGTCTTCAACTTTATACAAGGTGCGCTTTATTCATCAAGTCAAGCCACAAGTCCATTTTTGAAAATCCACCCCAAGTCACGAGTCATTTGGTCCAGTCACAAGTCATTTGATCACAAATCAAGTCACGTCAAGTCCAAACACAGCCAAGTCACAGGTCATTTTGTCCGAGGCCAAATCAAGTCACGTGATGTGTGATTTCGAGCCTCTCCCAGTTGGAGCTTTCTGACCATTTCCCAGATGCATTCATTAAAAACTGCTCTGCTCACAACTACAAATTATGAAACATCAATTTTCAAAGAAAAAGCTGTAAAATGTAAAATTGAGATTCTCATAGTGCAGTCAATAAAAATATAAATTCAAGGCAGAGCTACTTATTTTACTATGGTAGCTTGTCGATATGTCGGTTCAAGTTTATTCATCAATAACACCAATACACATACAGCACAATTTGCTTTCTACTGGACTGGTGGGCTCATCAAGGAGGGGAAAATCGAACACTGTATAGAGGGTATGGGTAACACAACAAGGACGTAGGCTGGTGTCGCCCCGTGGGTGCGATTTTCAAGAAAGCTGAGCTCCAACTTCCAACATTTAAACGAGGAAGGTTAGTATGGTACACACCAGTCATAATACGCACAAAACACCACTCGCTCTGAGCTCCCTACTGTACGCAGTGACCTAGGCCGCATCCAAATTCCTGGCTACGGCTGCTGACGTGGTCCGGTCGGTCGTATGTACGCTTTCAAATATCGAGTATGTTGACCGTGTCCGGATTTTCCCGTGTTAAGTATTGGGAGTGGACTAATCATACGGACTAATGCGGGAGCGTGCCGTCCTATCCTACCCTCCTCTCGCGATATTTTTTTCCTTTAGTTTGGCACTTGAATCCGAGCATTACCGTATTTCTCTACAGCATGGATATATCCAGCAAGAAATGAGACCAAGGGGTGCCCCCTCCAACATGTCCAATCGCTATACCACACTGTACAGTATTGTCACCTTACACCCCTCCCATGTCTGAAAAGAATTCCTCAGATTCCTGTGAAACAATGACCAACACAAAGCAGGGGGCTCTGTTCGTCTCATATCCTGCTTCATACGAGCGGTGATCAGTCTTGCAGACAGACCAATAAGGCGTGTTATTAATACAGAATAGAGCATTGCAACAACATCCAAACAAAAAGCTGAGGCGCTAATACGGTAAGTAGGCAATCTATGTGAGTCTTTACAGTAGAAGACGACCGTGACACCCCTGATATTAAATTAATGCAAGCAATATTTCTGAAATCACTGAAAAATTGCCCAGGTTAACTTTAACCTAAGGAAGGGTCAAAACTGCAACTACCCAAATAAGGAGCTAAGTTAACCCAATTTTGGGGTAAGAATTACCTTTGGTTTCATTTGTCACCCACAAAGTGAGTGGATATTACCCATTGTTTGGTTAAAAGAAACCAGAAATTAACATCAATCACCCAAACTGGATTAAAAAAATCTAAACCATTGGGGAGTTGCAGTTTTCACCCTCCCTTGGGTTAAAATTTAACCCAGGCATTTTTCTCAGTGTGTCAACAGTTAAGTTACTACAGAGGGGGTTGAAAAACTTCTATGTCATTTGGATCCACAAAAACAATACATCACCTCGTATCCTCAAGCTATGTGCTGCAAGCTTAACACCCACACTCAAAACAGTATTTCAAAAATCGCTTGATACTGGTACTCTGCCTTCAGACTGGTATTATGCAAATGTTGTTCCACTATTCAAGTCTGGTGACAGGTCTGCGACGTCCAATTATTGTCTCATCTCGCTCACGTTGGTCGTTTACAAAGTATTGGAACAGATGATATGTCACATCATCATGGATTTTTGGGAAACACATCAAGTACTACGAGATCACCAACACGGGTTGCGCAAAGGTATATCATGTATCATGTGAGACACAACTTGCTACGACAACCGAGGACCTTGCTGCGGTACTAGTTCAGGAAGACCAAGTCGATTGTGTTTAGATTTCAGTAGGGCATTTGACAAGGTCCAACACCAATGATTGCTAGCCAAACTTCGTCACAGTGGTCTGCCAGATTCATTGATTTCATGGATGAGAGGTTTTCGCACTAAAAGATCTCAGCAAGTCATTATAGATGGGGATTCTTCAGAGAAGGTTCCTGTTTTATCCGGTGTACCCAAAGTGTAGTCTTAGGTCCAGCAGTGTTTCTTCTGTATACAAACGACCTTCCACAAACCATTAAACCTACAGTAAGGCTACTCGCTGATGACTGCATTATGTACAGAAAGATTGCTTCTGCAGAAGATTCAGTTATCCTTCTAAAGGATATTGACTCACTCCGTGTTTGGCAAAAGCAATGGCTGATGCAATTTAATAATAAGTGCGCTGTTATGCTAATCACCCATAAGAAAAGGCCCCTCATGAACATATATAAGATAAGAGATTCTCAGCATAGGCACACGCACCGGGGAGTTTATTTAAACAGAAAGCTCACCTGGAACAACCATAATGCCAAAGTTGGCACCAAAGCCAACTACACCTTAGGTTTCCTTCGACGGGATTTTTATTACTGCAACCTGGAAGTCAAATCCATGGTATACAAGACCCTCATTAGACCACAATTCAACCATCATGCAGCTCAACCATCCGGAATGCACACCAGCATATCTACATCGACACCCTTGAAATTGTCTAAAACCAGTCTGCCAGATTGGTGAAAAGGAATTTCAGCCGAAATAGTAGTGTTTCATGAATGGTTAATGATCTTGCATGGAAAAGACTGAAGGAAAGAAGGCTTAGTGCCCGTCTGATCCTCCCGTATAAAGCACACCATCAACTTACACCCATTAAAGTCAATACGTTGTACATCAATTCTAGCCCAAGAAGACACAATAGACACAACACCGGCCTATCTTTTTTACGCCCCCAAACAATAAGGACTGCCACAAATTCTCCTTTCTACCTAGAAGCACAGATCACTGGAACACTCTCCCATAGACTTTAGGACCTCGCCAACTTTGAACAACCTAACTGCTGCATTTACCACGTCTACGCACCGTGCGGGATATCCTGTAAAGGAGATTTACAGTATAACACAGTTTTAGACTGCCGTTCGGTTAATATGAACGCCCTAAGCGGAAATGTCTTCTGCTGGCAGGGTGTGCGAGGGGTGCTGATTTATCAACCTTGAACAGAAACACCCCATAACTTAAAATGAGTCGTGTTTGTGAATTTCATAGTCGTTTGTGAACTAAAGGATCGTCCATCGCTAAGAAAACTGTGCCCTCTCTTGATGGTCCCACAACTAGTATGACTTACCTCCAACATGGAAGCGACGCAGCTTCATTTCACTACTCCTAGCTATTACAAGGTTGTCCCCATCAAACCAGCCAAAAGTACGGTGAACCTTGCTCGAAGCATTTTCAGGGAGTACATACTCGCCATTCAGATTGCTCAAAGAATTGTGCAAAGAACCACACTGGCCGAACCACCAACCTCCCCTCGCTAGAGCAGCACAGTTGAGTTGGTCTTCACCGTCGTTGTCTCTATCGTAGGTGGAGAACGGGCTTGGTGTCTGGCTTGATGGTAAGGGGGATCTCCCTGCATAGACCAGCAGACAATGGAACAAGTATTTTTCTCCACTAACGAATGGAAATTCAATGACAATCAAGGCCATGACTCCATATTCCTCTGAACACCAGGCCTTCTCTAAACATTTTAGGCTGGTTTTTTTTTGGGGGGGGGGTACCCTGGTTGACCCCCTTGGATCCGCCCTCAATGTTGAGAACAGAAGCAGAGTCTCGACTGCTGTTTATGAAGAGCTACTCAACGAGAAGAGAACACACTTCAAATGATCTGTGACAAGCAAATCTGAAAAAAAGAGTTCGAATAGAGCTCATACCTCTACATTCCTCAAAGATTCAAATTAGAAAATGCATCATATACAGTAATCTCCATCTTAGTCGACAATGGCCCATGCTTCGGAGAAAATTGTCTTCGGTAAAATTTCAAAGGAATTTTTGAGTCCGATACCACTGTAATCAACCGTACCTGTTGATCCCTCAACCTTGAGGGTGTAGCTGTCACCCTCGACACGGAATGGCCATCGGTACCTGGTAGGCTTTTTCCCGTAGAAGTAATCGTCAAACGTCAAATCAATCTGTAGTAGCCATTTATTTTCCGAGGTCAATTGACGAAGTTTCTCGTTTCCCAGCCAGAACTCGCCCGTCAGGTTGCCGAATCCGTCCCTGTACTCGATCCAGTTGCGAGTGAAATTCACCGACCCGTCAAGCCGCCTCTGAAACACCTGGAACGAAAGAGCCTTTTCGGTGTTAACTGGACGCTTGTGAAAATTGACCTTCGTAACAGGTAACTGAAGTAAATTTCCCATAAATACACATTCTCCTGAGGGTGAAATTTAAGTTGGTTGTCTTTTTATTTGTAAAATATGTTTTACCAAATCTGGATCATGTATTGCCAGGAGCGATAACATCAACGCAACCTTTGAAAATCAAAGTTGACGTGAGTCGTTTTGATCATGAAATGTCAGTTCTGTAAAGGGATGTCGTCATTACTCTCGTCAAATTGGTGAAACAAACTCACTATCCAGCCTCCGTATTGGGCATCCATGTCACAGTAGACCTCTAGGCCGTTAGGGTACTTCGATGGGTAGATGGTGTACACGTCACTCACGGTTACACCAGCATTATACCAGGAAAGACAATCTCGGGGAAAAAAAATGTCTTAAATGGAAAATTGGGATGCACCGGTAAAGTATAATTGTCAACTTACGTGTTAAAGGTGAAAAAAGGTAATCCAACTTTAAGGGGTTCATAGCTAGATGGCATCTCATATAGCATTTTGAGGACCACAGCAATAAAATTGAAGATAAGCACTTTCAAATGACACCTTTCTTGCCTAATCATGTGATTGCATAAGTTAACACCAATGGATTGAAAAAAAGGCACCAAAACTGCATTGGTTCCCTTATAAAGCCTCGTTGTATTTCACTTCACCAACTGCCACACCTTGACTGTGAATAATCTTTTGCCTGGTTAAGCAATGGCGTTTATTCAAAAGGCCTGGCATGTCAATTCTGGTCATCAAACAAGCCTGGTATCATGAAAGTGAACCAATCGCATTTTGCACCCTAAATTCTGGGTGATGCTGCTCAATCAAGCAAGGCCATGGGCAAGAAACCTTTGTGTCATTTTAACGGATATAATCCCTACTTTAAAGTGATACCATGATCCTTACTGAAAGCTATATACATTAGTATGGTCGTATTTACCCCTTAAAGTTGGATTACCGTTTTTGAAATACCCTGTACAACAGACGCTGGATCACTGATGAGCGTCTATATAATTATAAGATGAAGACTGGCCATTAATTATGCAAGACAACACAGAACTAGTCCTTGGATGACCGATCAACTACCGTGTATTACACTGTTGGCTGGAAAACACGGCACATGCAAGAAACTGGGCGGTCGAGTTGGGCTTCCTCTATTGTTTCCGCAGGATTTTCAGCGTTGTTCACGTGACATAAATAAAGCCATGTAAGCTTAATTTGTTTGGTGTCTGACTGAGTCTCCTTGTGCACCACGTATGTGTATGCCCCATAGAGACAACGTTCACTACAAGCACGTATTAAAGCTAACTCAATTTTAAGCAGACAACAGTTTTCCCTGCGAACAGACGACGTTAGTCATGCAGGTATTTTCAAAGGCTAACCTTGTAAAATATCGAAGTGTAGCAGCACAAATAGTTTTCGGGAGCATCTTAACACAACACAGAGAACAATACATAATGTTTCCTCCATTCGTAAGATTTTAAAGTGACGAAGAATATCAGAACAGTATATAAAGTGACTT